GTTCCCGCCGCAAGTTCGTTGGCTGGCGATCTTGCGCAACACGGGGCTGATCGCCGTCAACCGGTCGCCAGTTGCTAAATCTGGTGTCTGGCCGCAACTGATGGCCAGACGGACCTCCTTTTTCAGGCTGGTGTAAAACCAGTACATCGAATGAGCCGACAGTACATGGATTTCACCATCGATGCCTACGCTGAACTGGTTTCGGCGGCGGCGGCACGCTACCGTTTTCTCCGTTTCTCCGAAACCTCGGCAGAAGGCGATGTCGTGCTTTGGCGGCATGACATTGACGTCTCGCCGCAGCGTGCGCTGGCGATGGCCAGAGTGGAGGCCGCGAGTGGCGTTCCTGCAACCTATTTCGTGCAGGTTTCCTCCCGTTATTACAGTATTTCCGAACCAGAAATTGCTGCTGTGCTACGGCAGATCGGCGCTCTTGGCCATGACATAGGCCTGCATTTCGATGCTGAGGTTTGCTCGCATCAGACGAACCCGGACTACGACAAGCGCATTGCCTTTGAAGCCCGGGTACTGGAAGAGGTTGCCGAGACTAAAGTCGCCTCTTTTACCCTGCACAACCCGACTACTTTGGCTGGCGTGTCGTTGAACGAGCCTTCCCGGGCTGGACTGGTGAACGGAAGTTGCTCCGACCTGCGAGCGTCCTACTCCTACTGCTCGGACAGTAACGGCCTCTGGCGCTTTCGTACCCTGGCGGAGATGATCGCCGACCCGGCGGTTACCCGGCTGTACGCGTTAACACATCCCGAGTGGTGGCAAGCTGAGCCAATGCCCCCACGACAACGCCTCCAGCGATGTATTGATGGGCGGAAAACATGGCTTGAGAATTATTATGACGTGTTGCTGGCGACCAATAACCGTCCCAATATTGGAAGAAAAGAGGATATGTGATGTCGAACGCCAAGGCTGAAATGGAAGCAATGCTGGAGGCTTTTCTGGCTGAAGTGCCGGGTCACTACTCCATATGCTCATTGCAAGCTCCAAGAAATGATTGCGTGACATTTCTCCGGAGTGAGAAATATATCGATCAACTTCATGCCATGGTCAACCAAGGTGTGGCGAATGTGACGGTCATTGTTCCGCCGGCTTTGGCCCTCCCTGCGGTCAGCGGCCTCTCGTATTACCGCACCGAACATGTGGATCTGCTCTTCACAATGTTCAATAACCATGCCCGCAAAGACTATGACCCCAGACCGTTTGATCGCATCAGTTCTTCTGTGATTCTGGACCAGGGGGCAGTTATTGGTGCCGAAGGTGCCAGTATCGCGAAATACAAAGATGAACGCGTGCTGTTTCGCCATTACGGCCGCGTTGTGCTGGAAGATAACGTCTATGTCGGTGCTAACGCCGTCATACAGCGTGGGAGAATCGACTCTACTGTTGTTGGCAAGGGTACGATGATCAGTTCGTTGTGCGTCGTGGGCGCCAATACGATCATTGGCCAAAACTGCACCTTGACGATCCAGTCTGGAATTTCGGGTTCTGCCCGTATCGGAAACCGGGTCTGGCTCGGGATTGGGGCCAAGGTTCGCGATTATGTGAGCATTTGTGATGACGCCTTTGTGGGCATGGGCTCAGTCGTGACCAAGGATATTACCGAACCTGGCATTTATGCAGGGAATCCATGTCGGTTTTTGCGCCCGCTTGACAAGTAAATCGACGGAACTGGCAATGTACGACTACAGAACAATCTTTCCCCGCATGCCTCAGACGGTCACGATCGGTGACGTGACCATACGTGACGGGTTTCAGAGTCAGGAGAAGCGGGTCTCAACAGAGGCAAAAATCTTCTATCTTTCAGAATTGGTTTTTGCAGGCTGCAAACACATTGAAGTTACCAATCTTGGCAATCCTCACCTCATGCCTCAGTTTGATGATTTTGAGGCGCTCCTGACTTACGCCCGCAGTGATCTCTTTAAAGATCGCTGCCTGCGTCGAGGAATAAATTACGACGAGATTTGCTTTACGGCTGTGACCATTCGCGAATCAGCCGTAGACCAGGCTGTTCAGCTTTGTGAAAAAGGTATCGGCCCGGATCGGCTTCTCATGATGACCTCGACAGAAGAGGAGCATCATTATGTGAACTCCGGAACAACTATTAAAGAGTATTGGAAAGAGGCGGAGCGAAGCATCAGGAAATGCAACGATGCGGGAATGGTCATGTGCGGCACAGTAAGCACCATATGGGGTAGCCCGGTCGGCGGACCTACCGATATGAAAGACGCGATCGAATTTACAAAGCATTGGCTTGATATCGGTGCTCATGATATTGAGCACAGCGACCATGACGGGAGTGGCACTGCACCGGAGATATTTAAATATTTCTCCGAGGTGCTTGATGCTTTTCCCGATCCAAAGCTTCACATAGCGCACTTCCATGAGACAAAGCGGATCGGCTCCGCTTCGGTTCTTGCGGCCTTGCAGGCCGGTATCAGTCGCTTTGAGGCCTCTCTCGGTGGAATTGCCGGGCAGCCGGTCAATTTTTTCGAAGATCGCCCGGTGCCTGGCACCGGCAAGTACTATCACGTCAGCCCGGGAATCGTCCCGCTGGAAGACTTGCTCGTGCAGGTGGATGAGATGGGCATTGGACATGGCTATGACATTGATCGAGTGCTCTGGCTGGGGCAACAGATGGAGAGAACACTGGGGCGCCGCTTGCGCTCAAACGCCATCAAGAATGGACGTACCCTCAAGGCGGGAGACATGAGTTTGGCGCGACCGGGGCTTCAGGAGCGCAAGCGAAAACTGGGTGAGGTTTAAAGGTCAATGATTCGCGCGCTTTACGTCGACATTGATCTTGTCCACCTGAACCCAACTGCAACCTACTTT